GGGGGGGGGGGGGGGGGGTGTTACCCTTGTCGAAGACCCGTTGGACGACGAGCCCGTAGGAGAAGGGTCTGATGTTGAGTTTCTGGAGGAGAGCGGCCTGGGACGCGCCCACCCTCTCGCCCTTGGTGATGACCTGGTTGTCGGCCTGGATCTCAATCGTCCCCTTCGAAATCTTGGTAGATATCCCCAACGCCTGGAAGAAGGAGGTCTGCTCGGGTCCGAGTGCGGTGGGTCCGGCGGGCACGATCACGTCCACGGGGGCGAGCGCACCAGCACGGGCGGGGGCAGGCACCTGTTAGTGCACGCATCACGTCAGCCAAATAAATCACACCTCATGTCATGTCATGTCATGTCATGGGGGAGGGGGGAGAGAGCGCCGTACAGTACGGTTGTGTCAACTGTCGCTCACTCACCCTGTTGTCTTCGATGATTTTCCTGACTTCGCCCATGTCGGCGATGCAGAAGACCAGCCCGATGTTGAACTTGACGCACTCTATCAGGTTCTTGACCTCGGGCATCTTGTCCTCGTGCTGACGCAGCGCCGTGCGCATCATCGTCTACACACACATAGACACACGCACACACACACACACACATACATCAGATCTGATCTGATGCTGCGGTGTGTGTCTGTCTGTCTGTCTGTGTGCCACCAGACTTACGTTTTTGCCCATGAGGACGATGGCCTTGCCGCGGAGGGCAGTGCGGATGTCGGCAAACTGCTTGCTGCCGACATTGTCAGCGTGGACGATGAGCACCTGTGGGTAGGTCTCCACTAGGCTGGTCAGCTTCTTGAAGTAGTTCCGCTTCTTCGCCGCTTTCTCGCCAGACGGCATCCTGTGTTGTGCTGCTGCTGCTGCTGTTGCTGCTGGTGCTGGCGGCTGGTGTGTGGTGGTGGTAGTGGTGGTGGTGTCCTATGTGTCTGTGTGTCGGGGGTGGCGGCTGAGGAGTGGAGTTGCAGGTGAGCTTCGGTGGAGACTGTCAGATCCTCAATGGCCTGGCAATCGCGTTTAACCTGCACACAGCGGCACAGACGACACACAGACCACCAAACGCCCACACGGGGTGGGTGATGCCAAGTCGAGAGATCTTTCCCCCCACTGCATCTGACTACAGTCGCCCACCACCCCTCTCCCATTCCCTTACCACACGAGCTCTCTTCTTCCCTTTGTAGCTTTTGCGAGCTTGAGACTTCGCGCTGCGAGCTTGGAGTTGATCCCTTCTTGGGACTTTGGAGAAGGGTCTCTTTCCTTCCTGTCACGCCCCGTCGTCCTCGCGCTCACAGACAGACACACCCGAGCGGGGGAGGGCAGATGTCGTGAGCCGGTGGCTGATTGAGTGAGTCGAGTGACAATTGTCGAGTGATGACGACTGGCCGAGGGCAGATGGCGTTGCTGTCTTTGCTGGAGGAGGTGGTGGGGAGCGATGTGCTGCCCCAGGGACTTTCGCTGTCCTTCCTCCGACGAGCGGGGAAGGAGGCCAAGGCCTGCCCCGTTCCTGCCAACATCAGGTCCAAGTCCCTTGTCAACAGGAGAGGTACGTACGTGCCCTAGATAGACAGACAGACAGACAGGGAGGGAGGGAGGGAGGGACACAACGACGCGAGGCGGGACAGGCAGGGGCAGTGAGTGGGGGGATCTTGGGCAGGCAATCGCAATCACTCGACCTTTGTCTTTCTTTCTTTGTGTTGTCATCGTGTGTCTTTTCGTTGTGCTGTGCTGTGTTGTGTTGTGTTGTGGTGTGTTGTGTCTTGTCCGTTCACAGCTCGGTCGTATGAAGCCGACGTGTGCACGATGGGTGTCAGCCAGGCGCCAACGCAGCCGGCAGTGCGGCCCTCGTCCTCATCAGCAACATCATCATCAACAGGATCGTCATCCCGGTGCGTCGGCCGCACCCTCCACCCCAGCCCGTCTCTCCACCAAAGCCCCACACACAGAGATAACTCTCTGTCTCGGTCTAGGACGGCCCGCAAATCCGGCAGGGCGGCCACCACGGCCGCCGTGTCGCCACCACAGAGGCCCAAGACCACTCCCGACCTCCGGGGCCGCCGGCCCTCCCCTCCACCCTCCCCCTTGACCTTCGCACCCTCCCCCTCGCTCTCGCCCCGTCAGCACCAACACCAGCACCATCACCACCACCACCCTCTGCGGCCGAGGTCGCAGAGTGAGGACCTCACTGCGTCGCACAGAGAGCAGCAGCTGCGGTGCGGCGAGGATGACGTGTCGACGCCCCCCATGGCGATGGCGGCGATGAGCGGGTGGGGGTGTGCCATGGGCCGTGTGGACGAGTTTGTCTTTAGTAGTAGTGACAGCCTGTGTCGTCATGGCGAGTATGGGGCCTGGGAGGGCCTCACGCCGTCCAGGGTGTATGGGGCGGATGAGAGGGTGTCGGGGGTGGGGCTGCCACCGGAGGGGCTGGCTGAGTGCGCGGCGCTGCGGAGGTCCGCCAAGGTGTGTCATAATATGACTTTTGGGGCTTCGTCCGCGCCTTCAAGTGAGCTACCTGCGCTGCGCCGCCTCCCCACACACCATCTGTCGGCATATGTGGATGTCTGTCTGTCTGTCTGTCTGTCTGCTTGTCCTTTCTCTGTTTGTTCTTGCCTCTTGTGTATCGCATATATCAGAGTCGCTGCTTCCCCAGTCGCTGCTGCCCATCCCCCGAGCGTATCAATACCACTCCCGCACTGCCTACCCAGCCACCGCACAGACAGCTGTCGTCGGGCCGTCATCACGCTGGCGCAGCGTGCACACCAACAGCAACAGCAACACCAGCCCCAGCACCAGCACCACATGTGGCGCCCACCCCGCCAGCCCCACGGCGGCCGAGGGCAGCGACCTCATTCTCTGCGACAAGACGCAGCCCGCAGCAGCGGATGCCCACTTCCCCCGCGGCAGCCTCCCAAACAGCTGGGAGCCGACATACTGGCCACCCGACGTCCTCGCGCACCTGCAACCGCACCCCTTCACCCAGGCCGACCTCGCCGACCGCCTCGACAAGACCTTGAATCGGCCGGCCACTCGGATGCCCTCATCGACGTGTTTGAGCCCGGGTGGGACGAGGCGGCACGGCCTGGGCCTGACGCTTCATTCAGGCGGGTGCATCATCCCCCGGGTCGACAAGGCGGCCACGACTGGCGGGGCGGACGCCTTCTTTCACGACGCCATGACGTCGTCGGTCGGGGTGGCAGATGGCGTGGGGGCGTGGGACGAGCTGGGCCTGTCTGCTGGGGCGTTTGCGCAGGAGCTCATGTACGGCTGCCAGCAGGCCAGCCAGAGCAGGTTCCTGAGACAGACCACCCAGACGGGCTCGGGCGACGGCACCACCACCACACAGACGACGATCCCGCCGGCCCTGCCGCCGTCGATGGTTGCTAGCGAGATACTGGTGGATGGGTATGAGAGCACCGAGAGCATTGGGTCGAGCACGGCGTTGGTGGCGTGTCTGGACGGCAACAAGGGCAAGCTGGGGGCGGCGACGCTGGGCGACAGCGGCATGATGGTGCTGAGGCGGTCGGGCGCTGCGCGGGGCGCACACATGACGGTCGTCATGCAGACACGACCTATGCAGGTACGTCAGTCGGTCGGTGCCATGTCGGGTCGGTCGGGCTCAATGGATCCCTTCTCTCTCTCTGTCTCTCGCTGTGTGGATGTGATGTGATGTGATGTGATGTGCCCTACGTGTCTTTCTTTCAGCACTACTTCAACTGTCCGTATCAGCTGACGCGTCTGCCGAGTGCGGGTGGTCTGCGGAAGCTGCAGGAGGAGGGCGAGGGCAAGGCGCCCCTGGTGTCGCTCCTCACCCAGATGTCCGCCTGCCACCTCGACACACCGGACATGGCTCAGGAGTACGACGTCGATGTCCAGGAGGTATGCTACACGTTTGCACAGGCGGAGGGAAGGAGTGTGATGGGTCTGGTCTGGTGTTGGTGTTGTGTGTGTGCAGGGTGACTTGTTGATACTGGGGACGGACGGACTGTTAGATAATCTGTTTGACTTTGAGGTCTGCGGGCTGGCCACCATGGCGCTCTCGCCTGCCGAGGCGGCCAAGATACACGGAGACACCAACCAGGCCACACACCCACAGGTGAGTAAATGAGTAGTGCGCCTTCATTCACTCACCCATCTCATCTGGCCATGTGTGTCTTGTCTTATGTCCTTTCTCTCAGCGCATCGCTCGTGCCTTGGCCGAGGCGGCGTATCTGCGCAGCCACGACAAGGCGGGCAAGACCCCCTACGCCAAGAACGGTCGGCGTGCGGGCGCCCACCCCACGACGGCCGGCGGCAAGCCCGACGACATCACCGTCGTGGCCTGCTGGGTCACCAAGGCGGTCTCCTCAACACTCACCTCACCCATCCCGTCCCACCCACACCACCAGCCGTCCGGTGCCCGCCCCCCACACACAGCGCCAGCAGCAGGAGCAGCAGGAGGGTCGCCCGGCTCGGCCAGTGGCCCACCGGGGGTGGAAGCTGCCCCCTGCACAAACGCGGTGCTGTCACGGCCCAACAGGTGTTTCGTGGCGCAGCGGGGCTTCGTGGCGAGGGAGGGGCAGGGGGGTGGGGGTGCAGTGCCCTCGCCGCTGCTCAAGTATAACAAGAGCTCGCTGAGTCTGGCGAGCGACTTCGCGATGGGCGGATGAGATGACCACACAGCACAGCATACACAACACAACACAACACGGGGGG